ACACACACACACACACACACACACACACACACACACACACACACACACACAAATACTATAATAATATGATTTATGACCTCTGTAAGTTTTCCATTGGCAGGAGTACCTGTGCCCTCCATGAACTCAGTTGGTATCATGCTGTACTACAGAGTGGATAGCCCTGGTTTCGAATCCCAGAACAGGCTTTGGTGAATTTGGGTCCTTTTTGTGGAGTTTTCAAGGCTCTAAATCCATTTGGTTCGGCCTTATCGGAGACAGACGTTATATTAGGAGATCCCGCCAATTAGATAACCTAATAGTGTTGATAGTGGCGTAAAACCCATACATTTACCTACTTTTTACGTGCGAGTTGAGTAAGGTGACAGGGGGTCGTTATAAAAAAATAAAGGGTACTATTCTTACAGCATCTTTTATAAGTATAACTTTGGTTCGGTTACACTAAAAGAACTCCCGGAATAATATTACAATAATAGTCTCTTTTTTTTTTATCTCATCAGTTACTAAATCTAATTGAAGTGGGTGCACGAGACACTTTTTCCCCCACGCACAAAGTAACACTGTAGGTTACTGTCATGTCATTTGATGCTCAAGGACATCAGAGAACAGTAAACATGTCAAGGATTCTAAACTCAAGCTCTAATTTGATTACGATTAATTTATTTCAAGCCTCGTGAACGCGTAAACTATTCAAGGTAACATGATTTATGATAACTAACGACAGTGCTTGATAAACCTTTTTTTTTTGCGAGTGGTTAGCGGGTGCTCTGATTTGCTCCTTCTTTCCTATCAAACGCCTTTCGTCCTGATCTTTCCTCGTTCTCTTTTGTGTTTGTTACTCTCTTGCAACACCCCTAATCTTCGGCACATATGACTTTATTGTGTTGCAAATGACGTAAAACTTTTACTAAAACTGACCCTTTGTTCTTGTTTAAAATGTTTGCTCCTTGGGTCTTTCTGATCAAAAGAGAGAATATTATACTAAACTTTGGTACGATTTAAGTATTCTCTCTTATTTCGAAAAAAAAGCACCAGGTGAATGTAAGTTTAGTTCTCCATTCACTGGTACACAAATACGAGGTCTCCACTCTCCACAGTCAAAGAGAAACAATGAAAACAGGTGGGTTTTTCTCCCTTGAGCAACGAGTCGTTGTTACTTTTTTTTTTTTTTTTTGTTGTAACGCCAACATAGAGTAACACAAACGTGGTGTAAACTGCGAACAGAATGCAAACAGCTGTCAACACACGCTACAGTAACACCTGGGACAAACGGATATAAAGCAAATGCAAAAACAAATTTAATTAGGAAAGAAAGAATGTATTCAACGAATAGAGTTTGTCAGGGGAAGCTGGACAAAGTTGTGCGTAGAGATTTTGCAACACGGAACGCAGAATTAGACTGACAGGCACATGAACTTAACGACATAGAACAACACAAACATAATAATACATGATATTATATATAATGATATCTTTATGCGTATTTTTCCTGCCAATCTATGTACATGTATGTCAAATTACGACCTTGCATATCCTTTGATACTATTTTGTAGAGCCCTACACGCATCCTTATTGAGGCAAACAAAAGGGGAGCCTTTATTTAAATAAATAAATAAATAAATAACTCTCATACACGTATTAGTCTCCCTGCCGGCTGCTCAATACTCTTATACGTATACGTGCGTACTTACAACACATATAAAGGTATTATACAGGCACACACGCATGCATATTATGCACACACACACATACATACAC